TTTTTTTCATATGGAAACAAACTTTAGTTTTGTATTAACATTGAATCTGGAACTATATTATTATATTATAAAGAAATTAAATTTGAAATAAAACACACATCAGTGCTATTTGTTTCTTATTATGTCTCTTTATCTGTAGTCTTTCCAGTTCCTTTCTTAATGTAAATCTGTTTTTCACAGGACAACAACAAAAAAACAAACCCAAATCTATGTGCTATAACATAGCGCATACACCACTAATACTACAAACCCTGCCAGTACTGTACATATGGGGTTATATACTGGCGGGCCAACTCTAGTACACATTTGATATGATCTCATGGCCCAAATATAATTACAAAAAAACAAAGGTATGGATTTGGTGTTGTGTGCGTTTTTGACGGCCACAAAGTTATGCAACATGTTCCTCCAGCTGCCTGAATGAATGTGTGTTTAAGTTATAAAGAGGAAAGTTTTTTTCAGCGAAATAATAAAATAATGGCACCACCCACATAGACATTATGGCCTGAATCGACGGAAGAGAAACTATCAGAGGAGTGCACTGAAAGCAGCAGAGTGGAGAGAGTTGCTGCATGAAAGAAAAAAGAACAACTGTGGGTGGAGGATTTCAACATTTTTGCCTCTTCACTCGTTTCAACATTTGATGCCAATAAAGTTTATTTTGCTCACATGAAAATCCCAAGGCTTTGCTGTTTTGCATACGTTCTTTTCCTGGGATGGTTAAGACTTTCGTTCTTATTCATCATAGGAACAGAACTGTGCACAGACAGTTCAAATGAGTTATTTTCACATGCAACACCTTCTTCCTCTGCTGCTGCTGCACGTTTATTAATATTTTATAAAACATAAATATTAAATGGCCATAAAATAGTCAAAACTTATAGGATTGGGGGAGAAATACATGATGTGAAGATTCACCCATGATAATTAAATTATTGAACAATTTCAGAATTCAGTCAAATCATTGCAGATAGAGACTACTGTTAATTTTTCAGCTGAGAGTTTTAAAAAATGCTATGGAGTAATTCTGAGCAACATTCAACTGAAATGATTTAACTGATTTTTTTTTTCAGAAGACAGAAATACGCCATGAATAGACAGAAAATGATGGACAAGGGAAAAATTGTGAATGTTATGCTGTAGGTGGGACACAAAAATGGGATGAACTGCTTAAAGAAAAACAAGATTTGTTCCTTATCTATTCACAGACTACTTCTCAGCAGCTGAGAGCTGAGCTGTCTTCATCACCAATAGTAATTTGCTGACATAACTTCCAGTTATTCCACCTTCTCACTCTGCAAGAGCAGCTTTTTGTCCTCACTTCTCACCCACTGAGGAGACGAGGAGGAGAGTGAACAGTTTAACAGGCTCGCCTCACTCTAATAACAAATGACATCCTACAAAACAAATGTGGCATTACAAGTAAGAATTAAAAGGCTTGACATTTACCAAGGCTCATTTATATGGCTGCACACACTTAGCTTATTGGCAGCAGCCGGTATAACACCCCAAGGGGGGGCCGGCCGCGGGCCGGGGCCGGGGCGGGGC